AATAAATATTATTTATAATTATATTTATGTATAAATTATAACTATGTAAGTCTACATTGGGTTTATAGACCTATGTACAATTTTTAAATAAATATACATAAAACATTTACATAACTCTATATAAAATATTTACATACTTCTACATAAAAACAACTTCCTGATGCTTCTATGAATAATGATTTTTTGACATAGTATATAATCTGTTATGAGCAATATGCTTAATTAATACTGTTGAATTATTTTTGATTCAGTTAATTAATCGATACTTTACGAGAAAGAAGAAAATTTTATTGAATCGTTATGAACTATAAAAACATTCTCAATGATAACAGTAGGATAAAGTATGAAACTTTTCAGGAATAAATTATATTATTGTCATGGATAACAAAATAATAAGATTATCCAATAGATAACATCAAGACAAACTTTTTTTTTGTGAAATATATAAATGAGAAGTTTTCACAAAAGATCGGGAGTATTCATTGGATGCGCTAAGGCAAAATTTTTATATAATGTTATTTTTTATTATCAAAAAAATTACAATCAACCTTTTTATACCGAATTAAAAGTTCATTAAAGCCCATAACATTTTCATAACGAGATATTTTTTATATAATTTGAAGATTTTAAGTTATTTATATTCAGAGTTCGTTATAGAGAGGTTCGTTGTATAGGAACAAATTCGGAGTAGTTGTCTGACCTATTCGGACGCAACCTTGTACACATTTACGTATGCATAGAAATTGAGCGCCCTCCGCTACGCTCCGGAAATTTATGTAATTACTACGTCTGCATTATGCAGTTACTGCAGATTAAGATATTTAAGTTTCTGTAAAGTACAAAGTCAGAATCGAATTCTTGCAAAGTGAGTCTACCAATGCAAGTCTATTAGTTTGAAGACTCAAAGAAATTAGCATGGGATCTTGCAAAGTGCATCAACTAATACCTTTCTCTGATCCAAGGTCATTAGAGCCAAGATTCAAAGAAGTTATTATAGTATTCTTGCAAAATGCCTTTGTTGGCTCGCTTAATTCTTCTGATCCAATTTATTCAAAGAAAGATCCCAGGTTGGAAAACCTTTTCAATCTTCAGAAGTATGCTGGCTGTTTTTGAGAATCTTTTCATAAAATTCCAATGCTTTGAGAAATCTTCCTTGATTAAACATTCATTTGTATCCTTACTCATGTCTTTAAGAGCACAATTATCCTGCGCAAAGTATTTGAATTTATTAAGTTAAAATAAAATAAAACAAAAGTCCCTTTAATTCCATTTCCGCCTATTGGACGACAATATTAATTAATCTACATATTTTAAAACATGGTACAAATAAAAAGTATAATTTGTACAAATATTACATAATAACATACGATAATGTTATAATTAAATGAAAAGCTTTAAAATTCGCTCATAATAATTAAACAATAATATGTAACATATGAAGATTGTTTTTTTAAACTAAATACAGTACCTTTCACCACTATTTCCTAAAGAAGCTAATGCGGTGCGTACTTATGTCAAGAAATGATGATTATATATGATAAAAATAATTAATTACTTGTAATAATAAAATACTACTAATACTACGTAATTGATGTAAAATATTAATTGCATTATAAATGCACCACTATGATATGTATTTTATCACATGTTTAACCGAGGTAACCAATATTAGGTACTAAATATTTAAGGGCTAATCACTTTCGTAACCTAGTTCAGGATTTGAAACAAATAGTCGACCTTTTGGTGCATAATCGTAATCTCCTCTGATATTTTTGTAAAAATTTAATAAATGAAATGGTAATTAAATGAAAATTCATTCTCAAAGTATCACAATGCACATAATGCAATAATAATTACCTCATTTCATTACCACTACTAAATCTTCCAGATTGCACAGCTGAACTTGTTTCACCTACAAGTTGACTCATTCTAGCAGCAGTTCTTAAACTAAGTGGTCTATAATCACTTGGTATCGTTGTTGCCGTACCCGCTAGTGGCGACAATGTTTTATTTCTAAATAATGGACTTTTAAACTCAACTCCTTCATTACTATCACCTTCTGATGTTACTTGGGTTAGTGATGATCTATCATCAGGACGATATAAATTCTCTTGAGATGAAGAATGTGAAGGTGGTTTATATGATTGTCCTTGTGTATTAAAAAATCCACTTTGTGGCGAATGTTCTTGTGCTATATGAGTATTTATTGATAATGGCGTAGTCGGGTGTATTTCATCTGAAAATGAACTGACGAAAGAGGAACTTTGATCACTTGAATTAAGAACTCTTGTATCACTACCAAAGCTTTCATGTTTTTGAAAACTAGTTGCAAGTGGTGGTATAGTTGGTGGTAAATCATCGTTTACTTGGAATATTTCATCTGAAAGTGAACTGGCGAAAGAGGAACTTTGATCACTTGAATTAAGAACTCTTGTATCGCTATCAGAGCTTTCATATTTTTGAAAACTAGCTGCAAATGGTGGTGTAGTTGGTTGTAAATCATCGTTTACTGTGAGTATTTCATCCGAAAGTGAACTGCCGAAAGAGGAACGTTGATCAGTTGAATTAAGAACTCTTGTATCACTATCAAAGCTTCCATCTTTTTGAAAACATGCAAATGGGGGTAAATCATCGTTTACTGGTGCAGACTCATAACAAGTAAATTAGATGGAGATGTTTTCGTAATTTCAAGTGAATTTACGAGTTTATTATCCTGCACTAAAGTATTTGTATTTATTGCATTAGGTAAATAAAGCGGAGATGATGTCGTAATTTGAGGACTCGAAGAAACTTCGCTATTTTGAGTTGATGCTTTAATAGGATCGTGTTGATTAAAGTTTCGTTAGGAATAAGCTGGTTTAAAGCATTGAGAATCAATTTTGTTTCTGGAAAATTAGCAGGATCGTCATCCCAGCATTTTTTGTAAAGCTCAACATATTGTAATGGAGTACCTTCTATTGGTTCTTCTCTATTTCCTTGAGTTATTTGGTAGCAAAGTGCTATTATTAAATCGAAAATTTGAAACGGTGGCCGTCCGCTTGAAATCTCCCAAAGAATCACACCAAGGCCATAGACGTCAGATTTCTTATTTCGGTTGTATTTGGGATCAATAAAGCATTTAGGGTCAATATATGCTGGCATTCCATGAACAATTGAGTTTGAAGGCATAGACATTTCATTAATCTGCCTTGATAGTCCAAAGTCAGCAATCTTTGGTTGTTTATTATGAATTAAGATGTTCATTGAATGCTAAATTATAAAATTAATTATGAGTTAAAAAATATAAAATCAGATAAAATATATTGTATAATACATACAAGGTCTCTATGAATAATATTATTATCATGTAAGAATAAAAGCCCAAGAGATATTTTCTTAGCAAGACTTAGTTTGTCAGCCCATTGTAGTCTTGTAAAATTTGCTTTAAGGTAATCTCTCAAATTTCCATCATTAGCATATTGTAAAACCATGCTATAATGTCCATTGCTATCTATTTATTTGCATTATATATTTGTTATTTGTATAATATAACGATAAGCATTATTTCTTCAAAATTATAAATTGAATTGCTTGTTTACCTTTTGTAACCACATAGAATCTAATAATGTTTTGATGATAATCAACTCTTCGTAATAACTTAAGCTTAAATTGCATAATTATAGAAGTTTAATATTATGGCAGGAAACAATTCAAGTGTTTATACCATAAATACCTCATTAATAAAATCTTTAATAAGTTTTTCATTTAAATTTAAATCGGTATTGAATTTAAGACATTTAAGAGCAACTATTAATTCGTAATCTCTCCACTCATGTTTAAAAACCTTTCCAAAGCCTCCGGAGCCAATCACTATAGGGTTTGTAAATTTATTATATTCAAAATAATTGATGTGTCCGTCGGAAACTGCTTTTTCAAGCCATTCTACTTGTGAATGCGCCATGACCTTTTTTACAAGTGTACGTAAGTACGAAAGAATATACAGTACATATATTTTACATGTAAGTTACGTACGTACGAAAGAATATACGGTATATATATTTAACATGTACATTACAGTACTATGTGGCACAATATTTTGCAACCTCTATGTAACATTAGATGGCGATGCTAGTATTCCATAAATCAACCGGAATTATTGTGTATTAATTGAGGGCAGATGAAATCGAGACAACAGGCATAAAAAAAATATGTATCAGGTTTGTGGCATATATTGTCAAAACGCTTATTTCTCAAATCTACATAGATAAAAAGTTTTTTTTTCTTGAACATTTTACTATACAATCATTTTATTTCTAATCTTATTCTAATTGCTAATCCTGAATTTCTAATCTTATTCTAATTGCTAACCCTGAACTTTAAAAATTTTCCTGCGCCACAAATCTATCAGAATTTTATATGCAAATACTTTATTAGCAACAATAAGTCAAATTTAATTATTTAATTATTTTTTTATTTTTTTCTCATATACATAATATATAAATTAATAAAACCACCTTTACTCACAGAGTTTTGCCCTTTGAAAAGTTAATTGTGTAATCGCATAAAGAGAAAAGGAAATTTGTATAACATGACCGATATTAATTAAGCAGAGATTTAAGAAATATATTGTATTGTATAATTTTATATTTAACTAGTTCAATGGGTGGCGCTTTGCGCCGCCATTTTATTTGTATTTTCTATTACAGAATCCAATAGTTGTTGCAATACACATTAAGTTGGTATAGAATTATTGTGTATTTACTGTAAAAAATTCCGACTTAAAACTAATTCGCTAATACAACTCACACAGTGGTTAAGATTAAATTAGTTTGTATTGAATTACCATATTTAAATCAAGAAATTATTGTAAAAAATTGTCACTAAACTTGTTATTCCAGTGACCACAATTGTTATCCGAACCGTCTAAATAATCCTGACCGGGTCAACTGTCGGTTGAGCAATAAGCCAACCGATTGAGAATCGGTTGGTTAAAAATCGGGTCAACCATCGGTCGAGCGATAAGCCAACCGGTTGGGAACCAGTCTGGTTTAAAAAGTATAATAGACCATCGAATATCTATGATTATCTATGACCAACACCCCAAACATGTTATAAATATCCATTATATTCAAGCATTAAACCCATATAATAAGGTTAACCGATTAAATTTGAATTTAATTCGAGCTTTCAAATTCAATAAATAAATAAATAAATAAAATCCATTAGAAATTACGTTGCCACGCTAAATCAATATGAGCTTTTTCTTATATACACATACAATAAAGATTTAATGTAAAAACTATTTATATTAAGACTCAGTTAAATTAAACCTTATCTTTAAAAAAAAAGCTCTTAGTAACAATGTTCCCGGTTTCCTTATATTAATCGGTTGTATCTAAGTGAAGATCTCCCGTCTAATCTTTATAGTGACTTTTTATTAGTGTAGCGTAACATCCTTAAAAGCACTGTAAAACATATAAATTAAGACAAGATTGCTCGCTCAATTCCAAGTGGCGAAATCAAACCACGGTATTAATTAGTTCAAAATAAACAAAAAAAGGAAAAAAACAAAAAAAGCTACTCACAGATTGTTGCTTAATTCCAAGTCAATGAGGTATATACGTACATATCAAATAAGAAACCCAGAATCTAACTATATACAAATGGATCTTTTGACTCTATGATCTGTTGGCTGACCTATCGGTTGACCTGTCGGCTGACCCATCCCCCAACTTGGGAAGATTGAAGAACATATCCACATGATTAAGTGTTCGGCCTACGTTAGGGTTAGATGATAGGTTAGTTTAGGCTAATTTGTTTAGTGCTAGTAAACAAATGACGTAATGATCACTGGGGTACTTGTTATTCAAACCTTCACCCGGGTAACCGACGAACTGCATTGACCCATTGATACCCAACCGGGTCGGAACACTATCCGTGAGTCAGTGAATACAACATACGTATAGATACAATAGCCACTTTATATTCGTCGTATTTTGCAGAAGATATTCCCTTATTATAATCACAGGACTCGCGGGACTCAAAAAAATTATGCCGATCGTCGATTCAACTAAATACATTTTATCGAATATTGTTATTGCTCTCATGAAACTATTTCTTTTGATGAACGAAGAGCTTCCGTAGCTAACAATACATTCTGTGCCCAACAACGTAGACAGTAAGTACAGTATGGGATAAACAAGCCGCAGGGTGTCACATGAGCAGAATTTTTCTAGTATCGTATATCTTTTTTATATTTTTATTTTTTGGGGAAACTGGACACAATGTCGAGCAGAAATTCAAACAACATATCATCAGGTTACACAAATACCATTGCGTCATGAACAAGTTTGGTGACTTACTGTTACATGGAAAGTCTATTGACTCGCAATTTTTTGTAAATTTGTCATGATTTACAAAATACAGACTTTTAATAACGAAAACAGCTAAATAAAGTCAAACAGATACCGCAAAATACCACAGATACCTAATTCATACTAAGAATTCTAATTAAAATAAGCGTATAGCATTAGTTAGCACGTATTATACTGTCGCCTACTTTGGAAAAATCATGTGTTCTTACTTAAAAATTCTATTTGGCGCTTCTTCACAATTTCGTGATTAGCCTATTTGTACGGTATTTATCCATATTTTACATAATACCCTGTAATTTTTATTTCCATTTTTCTTTACTATCTATATAACACATTATCAATATTTTGCACGTTGCTAGCTTAGTTGGGAGCAGTGTTAGAGATCTGAAACTTTTTTTTTGTTCTCTGAGAACATAAATTTTAAATTTTAGGTTCTCAGAAAGATTTTTAATGTTCTCAAAAGTTTTTAGATATAATACAATTTACAAATTTTATGTTCTCAAATGAGAACATAATTGTGTTCTCAAAAATATTTTAATGTTCTTGAGAACACTGAGAACATTAGATATCTAACACTGGTTGGGAGAGCATCATGAAGGAATATTTAGCTAGACAATTTATTTATAAGGACGATTTTATGAGAATTCTCTTTATTAGGAGAAGAGTTCAAGGGGCATACGACTTCTACTCTAAAATCAGGGGGATTTATCATTGAAGAGACATCGTATGATCGTTCTCAATGATAAAACAATCGTCAAATAGGGTAATTGCAATACTAATTAATAAATAACTAATCTAGTAATTAATACATAGTGCTGACTACCAATTTAGGAGACCTATACTAAAGTTACGAAAGCACTAAATTAATTACCGTTAAATCTCGAAATAGCGGGCATGGGCGTTATTTCGAATCTTGGTCCGAATTAAGCTTAATTCGGGCCGAAAATTGTAATTTCACCCCTGCACGTTATTTCGAGATTTTACGGTAAAGGAATTTCTTATTATATGAAAACTAAAGTTATAAAATGTAATCCGAATCGTAGCAGGCACTGAAAATTCACAGTAATACGTACAATGAATATATTATTTCATAATAATTTTAATAACTTAATTTAACGATCTAATTTTTTCCAACGTAAACATAAACGATATACAATTATTTTCATTTTTGTGATTTTATTTGTATCTATAAATTATTGAATATAAATCACTTTTAAAATTAAATAATAATTTAACGATAATTCATCAAGTATTTAACTTACCTTCCACATAGTGGTTTTAATAACCAAAGAATTGGGTTAGAGAATGCTATATTTTCGGCATGGTGTTTGAATAGAACTTTTTAAAGGACTAGCATCAATAGCAACAACACCGTATAATGTATTATATAAAAATTTATTCACCCTTATTACAACTGATAAATTTCAAAACAAGAAAGTATCTTATACAATGTGGAATTGGGAGGAACTTATGGATTTTACATTTGTGAAACAAACCATAAAGTATAAGATTTCAATTTCACACACTTGATAGAATCACTTTATATTAATAATAACACTGAAGTATTTCAAGTAACTAATAGTCTATTACAACAATATTATGATGATCCTACATCAAAAACAGAACTTGGAAAAGAACGTGTAAATCTAATTGACTTTAAAAGTAGAAATGAAAAATTATTACATTTTGGAAGTTTATATGCTCTTGCCCAACTTTCTGAAATCAAAATTTTTGAAGCCAGTTAAGACATGAAATGTTAATAAATAATTTACTGATAATTAACATTGTAAATAACATTGTCGATAGAATTAGTGGAACCAGTAATTTTATTGGTGTACATGCAAGAGTAGGTGATAGCGGATTTAAAAGGAACAAAAATCAAACGGCACAAAAACTTATCAAAAGAAGATTTTAAACATATAAAAGTAAAAAATAATAGTCTTTATTCGCCAATTAAAATATTTTTAGCTACAGATGTACAAAAGAATGACACATCCATCCAACCATTCTCTCAAACGTTTCCCTGTATATGTGATTTTAATGATTTATTAGAACCTTTAAATTCTTTAAAAAACCCATATATGGTAAGATCATGTATGAATTTCTAACACGATTTGTAGATTTACTGGTAGTTTCAAGAGGTAATAAGTTCTACCAAACAGAAAACAGTACTTTTTCAGACTATGCTAAATTCTTAAATAGAATAAATTTGTTAGTTAAATTTAATAATTAGGATATATTATTAGATTTATTTGACACGAAAATTAAATAGATAATAAATCTGTTATTGGGATGTCCTATACTAAAAAGAGTCGCATGTAGTTATGAATTTAATCTGCTTGCACTTATTCTCTGTGGCAAAAGCCAGCTAACGGCTAACTATCAACTTGGCCAATTTTAATATTCTTGCAGTATTAAATACATTTTGATGAGCTCTACAACTTTTGTTAAAAGCTGAAGAGTGATTTACTTAGTATAAAAAAGGTTTTAGATAGAGGTGCTGGAAATTGGTACTGTTAGGATATCTGGAGTACATTTCACTAGTTGACTGGTCATTATGAAGAAGCTTGTTGAAAAAGAATTAACTGTATTGTAATATTTTATTGGTTATTCAAGAATTTTATCAGTCATCAGGAGTTTCGTCAATTGTTAAGGTTTTGTTAAACAAGAATGTTGATGAACCTATTTCATTATTGCAGTGTTGGTTGCAAGATTGATAATATCTGTAGCCTAAAACTAACCTTATATGGCTCATAAACATGATTAAGACCTGGAATGAAGTTTTATTAAATTTTGGGAAATCAGAGAAAATCAGTTTTGTTTCACAAAGCCCTATAAATAAATAATTATTACTAAGTCTAAAATAGCCTCTTGAAGATAAATAAATGCTGAAAAAAAATCATGAAGCTATTATAGATGCATCTATGATAAAATTAATATCAAGATGGCTCCAAAACCTTGGTATAGTGAACTTCTAGCTGAGGCGTAAAGAGAAAACTATAGAATGTGCACCTGGACAAAAACATCAACTAAGCATTGCAAAAAAAATAAATGAGATAGTGACTTTGCTAGGTAAAGTAAATAAAAATAGAAGTAAATTAGGTAAATAGTGTGGCCATGTAAAATGAATATTTACAGACACATAAGCAAGGTCTTAATGATCCAAAAATCGGTGATAATAACAAAATAAGGAATTAGAATTCTTTTCTTTTCACATTCTCCTCATATATTAGAATTTTTATATAAATAGTCTTGTAATTCACTCTGGTAAAAGGGCAGTTCAGATTAAATAAAATAAATAAAAATCTAATTCTGATAAAATAAAAAGTCCATAAATTCCTGTTGTACCTAGAGTTCTTCATTTTTGTACTATACCTATAATAAATCAACCCCAAAGCCTTAACCTTGTCAAATCTTAACTTTCTCACCCTTGTTGATTTGTTGTGTAGTTTTTTTGGGGGTTTGTGTGTATTAGTTCTCTAGTGATGACTATCTAGACACATATAGCATCTAGTTTTTGCCACTAATAGCAGAAATATTTTTATTAAGATTCATTACCCTACACACATGGACATTATTTCAAAATTCTACTTTTTTGATTTAACTCAATAATGTTCATATACATCTCTAATTAAGTGCCCAAATATGTATAAACTCCAAAAAATTTTATGGTGCCACAAATAAGTCTAGTCTTGGCCTCCTGGCCATCTTTAATTACATCTCAAGCTAGGACTGTAGGATCTGATAGACAAATCACAAATTTAGTAATAGAGCTATAATAAACTTAATTACTAAACTTTGAGCAATTGTTAGTGTATTTGTGATTTTAATATAAACACGCAATTTAGATTTAGCTTATACAAAGATATATATGCTAAGATTATTATTTATTAAAATAAAATTCCATAACTTCTATAAATCATTTATTGATGACTAAACTAAGCATATATATTTCAGTGTTTAATTGACAAGACTGCTCAGGAAAAAACCAGCATTAAAGATGTCTAAAGCTATCTAGAATATTAATTATCATTGAGATCCATAAGTGATTCAGAAATATTAGCAAAAATATTTAGAATTTATATTAAAATCAATATTATATAATATTTTTTATATGACATTTAATTAAAAATAAAACCAAAAAATAAAATAAAAAACAAATTTTAAATGCCCACAAATTTTTTTGAAATTGTTTGGTTTCAATATTTATAATTTTAAATCACATTAAATTAATCAAATATGTAAAATCATTCTTTATTATTCAGCACCAAATAGATCCACTATACTATAAATACTAAACTTAGATTTTAAATACAGTATAAATTAAAAATATTGAAGATAGTAGACTCCAGCATAGTCAATGTGCAATGTCAATAACTAATTGTTCTATTTGATAGCAATATATCAACTAAGCAAATAAGAAAATTTTTTTAAGTCCATTGTTCAAAATCAATGATGCTTTATAATATATTATAAATACAATATTAAAGTATCTCATAATATATGCTTGAAAATCGAAGTATATTTGATAATGGTTGATCAGTCGTATTATCAATCTCAAACATTGGCTCACCATACGAGCCTACTGATAAGAAACGTAATTTTAAGGGATCGATATTAAGATGAATAGCGACTTGGTTAACAACCTACGCATAAAAGACTTATTAGATAAACTATAATGGTATATAGGAAAATAATAAATTAGATGATTTAACGTACAGATTTATATGACAAATTCTTATTCAAAACTAATTTAAATTCAGGTATCGGATCTTTATATCCAAATTTTGACTTAAAATGAACAATAATATTCATTGATAATGATTCGTAAAATTGAGGAATACTATAGATGCGATTCGCAGAAACATGCTCTTGAACCCTACATAAATTTTTCATAAATTTAAATTGTTAATTAAAAAAGTAAATAAAACTTATAACATACATACTCTTTATTCGTCAAAGTCTTTTGGAAGCATATTATATCACCATTTTGTATCTTATATTTTCTAAAAGTAAAATTTGGATTCATCTTTTTAATTATATTTGGTTCGACTTCCTAGTTTTTAATAATAAAAGAATATATATTTATATGGTACCTTTGATTGAAAATAAACAATTAAAATATGAACTAATATAGTCTAATCACTTTATAAATATCAAGAAGCATGTTTAACGGAAATTGTTTCTTTTCACAAAGAATAGGAAAAAGAATATTAACTGTATAATCCTTCTGAACGTATAGCTGACCAAATCCTCTTTTCATACGAATTAAAGTTGCATTAAGTTTCGTATGTTGGTCATAATACAATGCAATATATTAAATTTACATACTCTAACGATTGTGTATGCGGATTAAAATATTTAAGAAATATTATAATGGATGAAGTTTTTAAAGGCTTATTCTGTATTAGATATTAAAAATTAGCTAAATATGAGCTATAGTTAAGAGATAATAAATATTAGCAAAAATTATTATCACCTTAACATCTATTAGCTTATCGTACACCTCTAAATACATTCTTAAATCATCATATCGCGTAAGACTGATTTTATATTTTGCTGATAGTATTTTATCCATTGCTAGTAGTGATTAACCATTTATTGTAAATAATATACAGAATAATAATTTTGGATATGAAAAGTAACCTAGCTGAAACACCAATAGGCGTTAAATAACTCACACGCATCAAGGAGATCTTCGCTTATAAGGTCATGTGGCCTAAAAGTAATGATGTCTTGCTTTTTGATTATCCAGAATCTCATTTGAGTAACAGAGATTTTAAACTTTGCAGCAACAGCACTCTTAAAAGCACCAAAAGTGTCTGTTTTTAAAATTTTAACCTGAGAAGATTCAGACAATGGAAATATTTGATCATAAAGGTTAATGATATTAAATCCCCTATGATTCTTAAACGTTTCTTCGGTCATAACCTAAATAATAATATCAATGTTATTAAACGTTCTAATATAGTTAATTATAAAGTTTTTTTTTTAATACTACCGATATTTTCAAATGTCCTTTTTCTTCATTTTGTTCGCGTGCATAATTTTCTTCATCTATAAATATAACTGAAATAAACCAAGTAGATCCTAAATAATATATTTCATTGCACACTCACCCAAATGGCTTGGTAGGTGTTTAGGAAGCAGCGGGCATAATAATTCATCGATATCAGATTCACGATAATATATCAACATATATGCATTGTTATATAGGCAATTATCATAATAATAATTATGAAACGACTCTTTAACCAATGCTTGCGAAATTTGGGAATCACAAAACAAAAACCTGTTTTTTTTTAACGTTTACATAATTAAGTGCTAAGTGAATAAAAAGTGAGACATAATATTAACGAACCATTTATCATATTTTTCAGGTTTTAGATATGCATAATACTGATCAGAATCAGTATAAGTGAGCACACTATCTTATTCAAACAAAATTTCATATAATATAATTTAGGTTTAGTCTAGCAAACATTATAATACATTATGATATGAGAATTAATTGATAATACAAACCCATGCAACAAGTATTTATGTGGTTTTGACTTATTTGAATCCGGTGATAAATATTTTTGTAAATCAATCCCCATAGGAAATTCATAACGATCGTTTGACTATAACAAAAACTTAATGTTAACTAAGAGAATACAAAAATTTTAAAGATTTTAAATATACATGCCTTAACAAGGTTATTCTGTGCATCATATTCAGATCGATCTAAATGTATGTGCAATAT